AAAAAAAAAAAAAAAAAAAAAAAAAAAAAAAAAAAAAAAAACAGCCAGTATGGGATACAAAAGAAAAACCTATATTTCTATAACATTCTTTAATTAAAGGTTTAATACAACACAGAGGAATAAGTGTTGACAAGTATTAGTGTCATTTTCTCTTCTAACAGACAGATTTGTACATCACTTCAGGTGCCTATTGATATGCAAAAAAATGGAATACACACACAAAGCGTTCATGAATGTAAGTAGGCAGAAATATGGAATCGTACTGTTAACAAGATGGCTACAGAGAGCAGGAACGTTAAGTTCCCTAGAGTCCTTGACAGAGGTAAGCACCTAGCAGTGACACTGTGTGTCCAACGTAGATGTAAACAGCTCAATTTTTTGCCAAAGTTCTTTTACACTGAGTGCTATATTGTCAGGCAGGAAGAGCTTACACAGTCAGGTATATGCTTCTGTTTAAGGATGGAGATATATCTATACATCTATATAACTATTTATCTGTACCTCTGCATCAGGCTGACCTGGATCCTGAACCAAATAAACTAATTCATCAATTGGAGTAAAAAAACAGGATCAACACCAAGGTGCCTTTGAGTAATAGATCTGTTTCCACCTTTCCAGTCTACAGTAGAAAGCCCATTTCCCCACAGTCAGCTCCCAAGTTCTAATTTATACACTGTGGTCCAAGGACCAAAACCACAAATCTGTTTCCCGCATTAACATTGCTCCCACACATCCACGTGCCTAATTCCAAAACCATTCAAATACCCACTAGCCATGGACTTAAAAACTGTTCCAGATTATAGAAGACTAGAGAGTCATGATAACTGACTGCAATTCAAGATCTGGAAGTTTTATTTCACGTCAAAGAACATTACTGGGACAATTTCAAAATCTGAATACGGTCCAGATTAGCAATTTATGCTAAATAAATGTTAGCTTCTTGCTTTTTAAATGGATGGCTTATTTTTTGGGAATATTCAGTGAATTAGAGGTAAAGGAGCATCAGGTCTGTGACCTCATCTCAAATGAATAGAAATACACACACACACAGACACTCACATGGTAAAAGATAGAAACTATAAAGCAAATAAGGTAAAACGTTAACATCTGGTGAACGTGGGTACAGGATATAGTGCAATTCTTTGTATTGCACGTCCAACACTAAACTTGGCACCTACCCTAAGCATGATAACCCTACTATAAGGGTCATCAATGAGCACCCTCCTTGACTCTTCCTTCCTCTCTCAGGTGTCCAACTGATACCCAATTTCTATGAGAACAACACTCACACTGTCACTGCCCTATTTCAATGCATCCTTATATCTTTCTTGAATTACTGTAGCAGGCTTTGTCTAACTTTGCTTTCTTCCACCTATTCTACAAGTTGCAGCCACAGTGATCTTCCATAAAAGCAAATACATTATTCGCCTATAAAATATCCTCAGCAGATGAAGCTAAAATCCCTTATCGCGGCATACAAGGCCCTTCACAATCTGGCTTGTTATGACCCTTCCAAAGTCGCTTATTGTACTACCACTCCTCTCATATACTCCCAACAGTCACCATGAGGAAATAAACCAAGGAAGCGGAGAACACAGGAAAGAGGCAAAGGGGATCCCAGGATGATTCCAGGGTGACAGCTACTGTAACCAGCTACAGAGGCTGCCTATTCATAACAGAGTTGGTCAGAAGGCTCCAGGAGAGATCTCTTTAAGGAGAAAAAATTGACAGAATACCTGATGCATCTGAATGCAATTTGAAAACAAAAAGTGATGTAATAAAAGTTTGCTAAATGTTGATCTAACCAAAATCAATACACTGAGTCATGAGTGGTGGTTCTGTCCTACTTGAAAATAAGCCCTAGACAAATCTAAGATTTAAAAAATAAACACCAAATGATTAAAAGATCTACAAGACGCCATGGAAGATACAGATACATATTTATACATATATAAAATCTCAGATTTGAGGGCTTTCCTGGTGGCGCAGTGGTTGAGAGTCCGCCTGCCGATGCAGGGGACACGAGTTTGTGCCCTGGTGTGGGAAGATCCCACATGCCGCGGAGCAGCTGGGCCTGTGAGCTATGGCTGCTGAGCCTGCGCGTCCGGAGCCTGTGCCCCGCAACGGGAGAGGCCACAACAGTGAGAGGCCCGCGTACCGCAAAAAAAAAAATAGATAAATAAAATCTCAGATTTGAGAAAATGTTCATAAATAATGTATTAGAAAGGAAGAAAACAAGCATGAGAAATATGAATACCAAAAAATGTTAAATTCTATATGGAGATAAAACACTATAAATGAACAAAAAAGAATTGCATAAACAAGGTAAGATAATTGTAGCACATTTTATGGATAAATTGCTAAATTTCTTGATATATAAATATCACTAACAACAACACAAAAAGAACTAAGGGAAATAAAAATAACTAAGAGCCCTAGAAACAACTGAAACCTCTGATCTCTTCTACATGGAACATTATCCCAGAATAATTTAAGACATTTCAAAATGTACAGAACACAGGACGCAAGTTTCATATAAAGCTATTCTAAGAAGGCAACAAAAAGTGAGAATTAAAGTACTTCAGCCAATGAAGAGTCTCCAACTCCACCCAAGCAAAACAAAAAAATGAAACAGAGGTAATCTGTAATATAACAGCTCAATCAGAAGGAAGTATCATTAAACAAGCATTTATAGACATAAAAAAGGTCCAAAACAGTTCGTTATATAAGAAAAGAAAGTATAGACACTATGCCTTAGGAACACAGATGCAAAAAAATCCTCAACAAAATATAAGTTGAATCCAGCAATATATTAAAAGTATAATACATTACACTCAAGTGGGATTTATCCCAGGAATTCAAGACTAGTTCGATATATGAAAATCAATCAGTGTAATTCACCATATTAATAGATTAAAAAAGGAAAACCACAGAATCACATCAGTTGATAACAAAAAAGCATCTGACAAAATTCAATATCCACTCATGATAAAATCTCTCACCAAACTAGGAACAGAAGGGAACTTCCCCCGTCTCAAAAACATCTAGGAAAAAACCTACAGCTAACTACTAAATGTTCAAAGACTTGATGCTTCCTCCCACCCTGAAACTGGGAATTAAGCAAGGCTGTCCCATCATTCATAATTCAATGTTTTGCTGAAAGTCATAGGCAGTGTACAATAAGGACAGAAAAGTAAAAGGTATTCAGATTGGAATGGAAGAAATAGTATCAGATATCAAGACAATATAGAAAAGCCCAAATAATCTAAAAAAACAAACTTTTGAACTAATAAGTGAGTTTTAGCAAGATCTGATATATTTGTATACACTGGAATTTGTACATTCCAGTCATAATGAACTGGAAAACAATTTTTTTAAATAGCTACAACAACAAAAACAGAAGAAATATAGGTATAAACCTTAAAAAGTATGCCAAGAATCTGTACACAGTAAACTACAGAACAGTAAGAAAAAAATTTTTAAGATATAAATAAAAGACATTTTCTGTTCATGTATTAAAGACTCAAGATAGTTAATATACATATCAATTCTCCCCAAACTGACTCATAGATTTAATGCAATTCCAATCAAAATCCCAGCAGGATTTTTAGTAGATACAGACAAGCTAATTGTAAAATTTATATGTAAAGGCAAAGCAACTAGCATAAGCACAACAATTTGGGGGGAAAAAAGACAGGAGAATCACACAATGGTTTTAAGACATTTTAAAAACTACAGTAATCAAAACAATGTGGTATTGACAAAATGACAGACACACAGACTAAGGGGAAACAGTAGAGAGTTCAGAAATATTATAGTCAATTGGTTTATGACAAAAGTACAAAGGGAATTTTGGAAAAAAGTTTTTGCTATAAACAACTGGATATCCACATGCAAAAAACTAAACTTCAACTCACACCTTGCACCATATACAAAAACTAACCCAAAATGGATCACAGAACTGAATGTAAAATGTAAAACCACAAAATCTTAAAAAGAAACAGAGGAGAAAATCTTCATGACCTTAGGTTAGGAAGAATTCTTAGATATAAACCAAAATCGCAATCCATAAAAGAAATAATTGATGAACTCAACTTAAACTTAGAATGTCTCCTCTGGGGAGGACACTGTAAGAAAAGATAAGCCACATACTAGGAGAAAGTATTTGTTACCAGAATATATAAAGAACTCTCAAAACTCAACATTAAGAAAAGTATTTTTCAAGGACAAAATATTTAAACAGACATTTCACCAAAGAATGTACACAGATGTCAAATAAACGCATGAAAGGATGTTCAACATCATAATCATTATAGTAACACAAATTAAGATCACAAGACACCACAACATATTTATTAGAAGGACTAAAATTAAAAATGACAAGTATGTGGAGCAACTAGAATTCTACATACACTGCTTGTGGGA